GTTCAACCCTGCAAAGTCACATAGCAAAGCATATCCCCTTCAAGTTCAACCCTGCAGTATTAACCCCAAGCTAACTTCTCTACTTCAGGAAAAAAAAAAAAAAAACAGTTAGAAGGACACAGTATGATGAAACAAAAACAGTTTAAAAATGCCTGTGACACGTGAGATAAATTTAATGGCATAAGAGTTCTTACGGATTTCTTCATGTATTTAATGTTGGACACTTTTTCCTTGCCTCTTCTCAGATAGTAAGATGAACATGGGTAAATTTTTATTCCATTATTCTTTTCATTCAGCTTCTTTCTTTCTTTTTTCCTTTCTTTTCTTCTTTTTTATTCTTTTGAGACAGAACTCTCAAGCTGTTACTCTGGATAGAGTGCTGTGGCATCACAGCTCACAGCAACCTCAAACTCTTGGGCTTAAGTGATTCTCCCACCTCAGACTTCCAAGTAGCTGAGACTACAGGTTCCCCGCCACAATGCCTGACTATTTTTTTTGTTTGTTTGTTTGTTTTGCATTATTGATTTTTTTAGCTGGCCCAGACCAGGTTGAAACCCGCCAGCCTCTGTTTATGTGGCCGGCGCCCTACCCACTGAGCTATGGGCACCACCCAGTTCAGCCTCTTTTTACTGATCGATACTTTACTATGTACCAGGTCTTGTGCTGGCTGCTAAAGGTACAAGGATGATCACGTAGGAAAGGGACCATGTCCCCAAGGAGTTTATGATGCCATGACAGAGAATATGGTATCAAGGCGTGGTGTACTATTTTCACGTAAAGGTCTCGGTATTTCCTTTTCAGAGGCACCATCCTCATAATTTTAAAATCCAACAATAGAAATGTTCATGATGAAAAGCAAATGTACCTGGTCCCACCTCAGAGCATCCCAGGCCTCTCAGTCACTTCTGCTTTTAGTTCTTTCCATATGTCTAAGTGATATGTGCTGGGTTTTTTATTTATAAGCTTTAGGTGTTATCTTTCTATTTTTACATAAGATAAATGAAGATTTAATTCATCTCCATTAGCCTTCTTTATTTCTCAGTTCTTCCTAATAGAGTTATATCCTTTTTTTGTCAGTATATTTATTGGATGACTTTTTCATTTTAATTAATATGCATGAGCTTCTACTGTTGGTCCATCAACTGTGTGTAAAATGTCTCACTTCCCCACGTTGTAAAATGAAGATGTTCCCCAGTCATTCCTTCTCTTTTCCATCTCCTAAATTCTCCTGTATTTTTGTTTAATTTGTCAGAGTTGGTAATACTTATTTAGTAACCATGTAAAATCATCCATGGGCCGGACATGGTGGCTCACGCCTGTAATCCCAGCCCTCTGGGATGCTGAGGCAGGTGGATTGCTAGAGGTCAGGAGTTACCAAGAATAAGACCCTGTCTCTAAGGAAGCTAGCTGGGCATTGTGGTGGGCACCTGTAGTCCTAGCTACCTGGGAGGCTGAGACAAGAAGATCACTTAAGCCTAGAAATTGTAGGTTGCTGTAAGCTATGATGCTGGGGAACTCTACCGAGGGCAACATAGTGAAACTCTGTCTTAAATAAATAAATAAATAAATGTAAACAAATAAGTATTGAAAGCCCAGGTGCAGTGGCTCATGCCAGTAATCCAAGCATTCTGGGAGGCTGAGATGGGTGGATTGCTTGAGCTCAGGAGTTCAAGACCAGCCTGAGCAATGGAGAGACTCCATCTCCAAAAATAGTCAAGCAGTGTGGCCAGCGCCTGTAGTCCCAGCTACTCAGGAGGCTAAGGCAAGAGAATCACTTGAACCGAAGAGTTTGAGGTTGCTGTGAGCTGTGACACTACAGCACTCTACCAAGGATGACAAAGTGAGACACTGTTGCAAAAAAAAAAGAAACCAAAAAACCTCTATGCTGTACCTGTAAGTTGAGTCTATAAGTGGAAAACTAGTAAACATTATTGTTATTACAGTGGTGTAAATATTGTTTATACAGAGCTAACTAGTACACTGGGAAAACATTTCTTTCTATTTGGCTCTAATCTCTCCCTTTTGTACTACTCAAAAGAAAATGGATTCACTCTTCTTTCTTTTAAGGCCCAGTTCTCAACATCAGATCACGTTTGACTTTGTTTCATTTTCGGGCTAAGTCTTCCTTGAACATTTCCCCCTAGATTTTCTGACTGGGTGGGTTTTTTCCCTTGCTGTAAGAAGCATCATGTCTTCTTCACCCTACTGCTCTTACTTCCTGGCTTCTGTCTATTGCTTGGAACCCATTTCATATTTTCCTCTTGAACCCACTAATTTCCTTTCCTAATGGGGACTTGTGGAGGCAGGTATGAACCCCGACTCTCTTGTACAATTTTATGACTGTAGCTGTCCTTCTCAATCCAGGCATATTCCTTTGCATACTCAGCCTCCACATCCGTACTTCCCTAAGTTGGATCCTGTTCTTGGATCTCACTTGCTCTCCTGAGAGTCTCTCACTTACTGGACATACACAACTCCACCCACACACTTGGGTTCTAATAAATAAAACCGCATTCTTCATTGACTTCCCTGAACAACTAGGAGACCTGGGAAACAACCAGCATGCAGCACTGCCATTTAACCATCTACACCGTCTGACCTTTATTCTGTGTGCTCTGTGTTTGACATAGTTGTCTCTTTCTTCCTCTGTGAAGCCTCCTTAGGCATGTTGGTTTCAAGGACACCAGGTAGACTTCTATCACCAAAATTATCTGTGTGCTTTTATATTCTTGTAACATTTGGTCATTTCTATTAGAAAAAAAGAGATGTATAGGCACAAGGATAATAGACATTAAAATAAACTACTTTCCTTGGGCACATTCCAGAGAGTTTTCTTCATAGACTGGCGACACAGGACCTATATTATCAATGAAGAGATTAATAGAAGATAAATGTTTTATAAAAGGTTCTCCCTTTCTCTCCCGCCCCCCAATTACATTATAGAACTGGAATCTTGGAAATGCTTTTGCTATCTTGTCAAAGGTCCCTACTAATGCATCGTGCACTGTGTTGCCCTCCACAGGCCCTCAGGTCCTGCTGATTGCAGTGTTCACCCTCGCTGGAGTTCTGATACTGCTCCTGCTCATTGCCCTCCTGGTGCTCAGGTACCCCTGTCTTCTGCTTGTGCTCATTACCTAGAGAGTAAGGGGGGAGTGGGGAGATGCCTGGCGTCTGTTGATGATAATGCATGTGCGCAAAGAAGTCTCTACACTGATCTAAGATAATGAAGCTTTCTGCATTGAAACTATATCGAGGGCAGAATAGCATTAAGAGGACAGATTAGGGCTTAGAGTCAGAGGTCCCTGAAATCAAATCCCAGTTCTGCAATTCTACAGTCTTCTGCATGCTACTTATCAACTTAAACAAGTTATTTAACCAAGTTTTTCATCTCGGCTGTTTTTAGAGTTTAGAAATGGGACATGTGCAAAGACTACCATATAATAGGCATTCTATAAATGAAAATAGTTATTTGTACTTTTGTACTGGTATATCATGGGAGATTTCAAAAATCATTATATTACATGATATTTTGAGTAGAAGAGGTTTTTGGAAATAATCTATTCCAACTCTCCTATTTTAAAATGGGAGAAAGAGGATCCAGGAAGCCAAATGGCTTGTCTAGAATCATATCACCGGGTAGTGGGTAGAACTCTTGACCATCAGTTCCACGATTTTTCTACTTGACTTGGGTATATCAAGTATCTAGCCAGAGACAGAGTATGTACTCAGAAATATGTATTAAATGTATAAATGAGTGAATAAATACCACACTTCTTCCTAATCTGTATGTGTAAAACACAGAACTTTCTATACCTAATATATTATCAGGATCACTCACATTTTCCAACTAAACCAGACAACGATTTTCTGTGTGTGTCACACTTTGGTCTGAGTGTCATAATCTGAGTGCCCAGCCTGCCACATGCCCACTGACACTTTCTCCAGGGAAGGAAGTAGACTATTTTCTTTAATCTGACAGCAGATCTTATTTCCTATAACTGTGTTTCTCAGAAATATAGGAGATAGTCTGCAGTGGACGGTGACCATTTAGTTAAGAGTGAGCAGAACCCAAAATTTCCCAAAGAAACCAAGTGCAAAGGGGGGTGAATCACAAGATGAAGGATAGTAACAGGTATTTCCTGTTGTCTCTGAGCTTGGAAGGCAGAGATGGGGCTTCCTAATGGCCAGAGCAATGACATGTTCATGAGTGTCACTGGCAGACAAATGATACCTACATAGTTTTCTATTATACAGTCTATGCCAGACAAGTAGCAAACACTTTTTGGAACCCCCTTATTCAATATAAGAAACAGTTGGTTCTATTGAGACCCAAGGATTTGCTGGGGCACAGAGATGAGAACCTGGGAACGAACTTCCAAGGTCTTGATATTCATCCTACTTGACTTCAGGTCTTAGGATCGCAGTAATTGGTCAATAATATGCTGTTCTACATGTATTTAATAGAAGAATACTCAATGTTAGATGGAAAGATAAAAATAGAATAATCATTTCTGCTTAGGAGATATTAAGAAAGGCATTCTGAATGACATGAAGAGGGTAAGTGGCCAAAAAGCCAAGGCAAACTCAGGGACAAACAGGTCAGTGGAAAAAAATATCCACTCCAGAATCAGACACAAGCAAGTACAGAACTTGGAATATGCCAGAGATAACATCATAAGTCAGCTACTAAATAATATTGGAATAGTAGGCTTTCCACATGTAAAAAATAAAATTTACCCCTTACCTGAAACAACACACAAAGACAGTCCATTCCACATGAATTTTTAAATAGTAAAGAGCACAGTATAAAAATCATACTTCAAAACTTAGAAGAAATTAATAGAAAATAACTGTATGAGCTCAGGTTAAAAATGTACTTCTTAATCAAGATAAAGTCATAGAAGAAAACATGTATAGGCTCGGCGCCTATAGCTCAACCGGCTAAGGCGCCAGCCACGTACACCTAAGGTGGCGGGTTCGAATCCCCAGCCCGGACCGCCAAAACAACAATGACGGCTGCAACCAAAAAATAGCCGGGCGTTGTGGTGGGCGCCTGTGGTCCCAGCTACTTGGGAGGCGGAGGCAGGAGACTCGCTTGAGCCCAGGACTTGGAGGTTGCTGTGAGCTGTAATGCCATGGCACTCTACCCAGGGGGACAGCTTGAGGCTCTGTATTAAAAAAAAAAAAAAAAATGTATAAATGCGGCCATAAGAAATAAAAATTTTCCATATGACAAAGTTAAAAGAAGCAGTGACCTAGGAGAAGGTATTTGCAATACAAAAGGATGAAGGATTTGTGTTTCAGAATATGTAAAGAACTCATGTAAGTTAGTAAGGTTGAGAAAAACAATTATGCAACTGGAAAAATGGACAAAATTTTGAATAGACAATTCTGTATAATTCTATGATTCTATATATTCTCTAAAATAGCTAGAACTTATTTTAAATGATAAATTTCTCTGGTAATCAAGAAAATGCAAAGTAAAGCAACAATGAAACTCCATTTCGTGTCCGTCATAAAGGTAAACAAGATAAACATTAACAATACCAAATGTTGCCAGGCATAAAGAAACCAGGAATTCTTAAGATAGGAAGATAAATTGATCCCACCACTGTAGAAAGCAATTTGGCAATATCTGCAAACTTGAATGTGTCTGGCCCCTACAATCCCAGGATTCTGCTTCAACTATAATATCTGAAAGAAACAAGTACAAAATTTTAACATTTTGTATGTTGGGATACATGTTGTTAAATTCTTTCTGTACTTTTTCTTTTTAAAAAAAACATTTTTTAAGGCACAGATGCATAAGAGGAACTGACTAATTTAGGAAGTCTGGTGTATTCTCTGGTGGTTTAAAAATGAATATATTTGCCTCTGAAGGTTATCCAGTTTAATTATTTTTTTGCTATTTCTGTCTTCAAGATTTCTATGTCATCAGTTCCTACCCCTCATTATGGTGAAAGACTGACTGCCTTAATGAAGTACCTGGGAAAATGGAAAGAAAAGCATAGAAAGCATATGACCCCCCTCCAAAGTCCTTGCAGGTCCCCTCCTGGCCAGCTCCTGAGGGTTTAGAGAACTGGGAAGTTCCATCACTGGGCTGCCTTCCCTCACATCTACCTAAGAACACCAGCGTTCTAAATTTCTCTCAGCGTTCAGAAGCAGAATGGTATGGGCACTAATAAAGACCTATTAACTAGTTCTATTGTTTTTCCACAGAAAATATAAAAGAGATAATGAACTCCGTCAGAAAAAATGGTCCCACATCCCTCCCGAAAATATCTTTCCTCTGGAGACCAATGAGACCAATCACATTAGCCTGAAGGTAAAGCCTCGCTTACCTGTTGGAAGGTAACGGTGCAACTCGCCAGGTTTTGACAGCACTTTGGCAGCATAGCAAGAAATGTGCCAAGTAGGGATTGCTTGCTCAAGAATCCAAGACATAGATATTTTCTAATTTTCGGTTTCCTGCCTGTCCCTTGATTCTTCATTATCCCAAATGTCAGCTATTTGAGCCAATGAGCACTTCAAGGGAGGCTGAGATGTGGACTGTTCTCATTCCTTACCTCTGACCCGGAAGAGAAATGGACATATTGAGAATTTGTCATGGAAGGGATGTAGAAATGGGTTCTACAAATGGGTTCTCAAATGAGTTCATTTGAGTTTTTCTGTACTTCCTATACTTTTCATATGACTTTGGTCATAAACTACTCAAACCTCAGTTCTTTACTGGATAGAACAGGTTTTCATGGAGCCTGTCCCACGAGCTGCTGAGCAAAATGATACACACAGCCTACCTGGAAGAGCCGCTCAGCCTTTGTTGTAGATGGACCAATAAGTAGATGGGCCAATATATGAAACTTAGGCAAAATTTGCCTTTTGTTGTATAGATCGATGATGACAAGAGACGAGATACAATCCAGAGACTACGACAATGCAAATATGACAAAAAGGTGACCTTTCCCCTTTCTCTGACCTCTCAATTGTGGTATGTTTTGGGCCTAGTGACCCCTCATTGCCCCAGTTCCTAAAGTCAATACCCTCACAGTGGGGGTGCCCAGATTACTCCAAGGGGCTATTCTTGGAGCGTCACAGGGCTGTGCAGGGCTGTGCTTCAACGGTTACATAGCTCACGGTCCTGGGGAAATGGAAGGACAAATTTCAGGGGGCAGGAAGGTGGAGTACGGGAAAGAACAAGAAATATAAAAGAGATTCAGAGCAGTCAGGAAGACACTGCTGTTCTGTTTTGGCTCCTTGCTAAGAAATACAGCAGTCTCATATAGGAGAGGGTGTCCTTCCTTCCTTTCTTTCATTTATTTCATTTAGTCGTTCTTGAAGAAACATTCAAACCTGAGCCTACTGTATCCCAGGTACTGGTCAGCAGGGGTATAAACATCAGTCAAATACTGTTATTACTTTTAAGAGCTTACAGTCCAACGGGACACAGAAACAAAGTGTTGTAATATGGACACAAGGAATTAGACTATAACAGTATCTCCTTGATACAATTGATCTTTGCAGCGAGTGATCCTCAAAGATCTCAAGCACAATGATGGTAATTTCACTGAGAAACAGAAGATTGAATTGAACAAGGTATGTATCCTTTCCTTCAAACCCTTGAGAAATACCTTACTTCATTTTTCCTAAACACTGAGGTCCAGGGGGAGTAGGTGCTTTTGTGAATGGTGACAGAGAAGCCCATAAGCTGAGAAATGGATGACTGTGCTTCTTGTTGAAAATTCTATCAAGAGACATTGAAGAGTAACAGCTGATTGTGTAAAATATTTTGGAAATCTAATAGTGTTACCTACAATCTGAAAGTATTCAAAGTTTGTATTCCATTTCCCATGCCAAGATTGTTGGGTAAGATGTAATGTGCAGTAAGAACTGGGTATTATATCTTTTTAAAAATCCATATCTTTTTAAAAATCTAAGACAAAATACATTTCATTGGCATATGAATTTTTATTCTGATACCCCTTTCTGGCTGATTTGCTTTGTAAACAAACATGTTCTCCTAGTTACTTCAGATTGACTATTACAACCTGACCAAGTTCTACGGCACAGTGAAGCTTGACACCATGATCTTTGGGGTGATTGAATATTGCGAGAGGGGGTCACTGCGGGTAAGAAACCATGGTCATTTCCTATTTCCTAAATAGTCAATCATATTAAAAAATATGCAGCAGATCTTTTGAAATATTTACCCAGTAAAATAATATTAGAGAATTATAAAGAAAAATTAGTGGGCCCACATACTTTCCAAACAAGATCCCTGGGATTTTTATCAATCACTTCTGTTCTATCTTTACAAACAAGCCAACAGATATTCAGAAAAGGATAACAGATTTGAAAGGAAAGAAATAGAGAACAGAAGTGGAAAAGTAAGTGATTACCTCCAAAATACATTTTGTTTTACTTAAATAACTTGCTCTTGTATAAAAGAGGAATGAATGGGTGGCATGCTAGCACCAAATAAGCATTGGAAGAATTGTTCCTAAGTTCTGGTTCAGTTACTATCTAAGTTTCTACACTAATTTTTCTTGGGAGGAAATGAAGAGACCAGGAGTTGCCAAGCAAGGTTAGGTATTCTGGCTGAGCAAGTCAAAAGTACACAGAGGACTGAGTCAAGTTCCTCAGAAGAACCAAGCATTAAGCTAGGAATATCAAATCATCACATTGTGCAGAAGGGCCAGTATAGCTCATATACAAAAATCACAAAGTCAAGTGTTAAGCAGAAATAGGACTGGAATGGGAAAGAGAAAGAAGAAGAAGGAATCTTGGATGATGGCCTCAAAGAGCATTAAAATATTTGCCCTTCACCTTGAGCATGTGCTTGTGAGGACGTTGAGCCCTTCAGATACTTTTGGATAGACTGGCCATGTGATTTATTATAATTCTTTAAGTCCGGGCCCATTGTGGTGGCTTGTGCCTGTAATCCTAGCAATTGGGAGGCCAACATGTGTGGATTACTTGAGCTCAGGAGTTCGAGACCAGCCTGATCAAGAGTAAGACACTGTCTCTAAAAATAGCTGGACGTTGTTGTGGCAGGTGCCCGTAGCCCCACCTACTCGGGAGGCTGAGACCAGAGAATCACTTGACCAAGGTGTGTGTCACCCAGACTTTGGACTACATTCAGACCCAGTACTTCTTCTTCTTCTTTTTTTTTTTTTTTTAAGTATATTATACATAGATCATGAATACATGTATGTATATGTAGGGTACAATGTGTTGATTTTTTTATACAATCTGACATGGTTACATCAAACCAATCAACATAGCTTTTGCCTCATTTAATTGATTATTGTGTTAAGACATTTATATTCTACACTTGACAGATTTGACTTGTACCCTTGCAATATGCTTCATAGGTGTGGTCCCCACAGACCCAATACTTCTTAATAAGCTCATGCCCTCCCCCATAACAAAGCTGAAATCCTAAGACGGGTAGCAGCAGGAGCTTTGGCAGCTTCTGTCCAAATATTTATATTCAATACAATTTGAAAATAATTATTTGTTAAAACTAATAACTTGGACATCTTTAGTTTTTAAATAAGCTTTCATTTAAGAAAGGCAAGAACACTAGCTTTCAAAATGTGTGGTATAAATTCAAATCTATTCCCAAAGGAAAAAAATCATAACCCTAAATCTCTTTGTACTACTGTTTCTTAAAAAATAATAAAGTACTTAATGCAAAATTTAGAAGAATAACTATGACATAAGCAAATTTTTAAATATCAATCATTATAAAATAAATTCAAAAATAGGATAGAGTTTTAAAATCTATTCATAAGTTAAAAACCTTTTAAAACACACAAGCCTCTTACTTCTAGTTATATAGATGTAGATGTAGGTATATATATAGAGAGAGAGAGATAGGATCTAGCTTTGTTGCCCAGGCTGGAGTGCAGTGGCACAATCAAACTCAAACTCTTGGGCTCAGGCAACATATTCCCACCTCAGCCTCCCAAGTGCCTAAGACTATAGGAGGTATGAGACTTCATGCCCCGTGACTTTATTATTATTATTATTTGTTTATTTGTAGAGACAAGGTCTCACTGTGTTGATCAGGCTGGTCAAGTCCTGTGCTCAAATGATCCTCCCTCCTTGGCTTCTCAAAGTGCTAGGATTATAGGCATGAGCCACTGCACCCAGCATAGTTATATCTTTTAAAACAAACATGCAAATACACAAAATTAGGGATGAAAAAACAGTGAAAAAGTATTTTTAATTGTGAAAGAATACTTCATGACTGTTACAATATGATATTTAAATTTTGACTCAAAAAGCATAAATTCTGAATTAGGTTCAGTCACATTTTGGACACCCTATATGTGGGGGGTTTTCTATACCAACAACCAGCTCTCCAATTCTCTGGATACTAGTGGGCATTTAACTCAATTTTAACACTAACTACTCAGAGTTAGCATCTGACTATACAAGTTAAGGGTTTGATCCCACAAGACTGCCCCCACCTCAGAACTAATCTCATGTCCCAGGCCTTTGACCAACCAGCTATAAATGAGGAATGAGGAAAGGGGCTGAGATTGAGTCATTCACCAAAGGTCAATGATTTAATCAATCATATCTAAATAATAGAACTTGACCCTGACCTTGGGTTTGATAATTGGGTAGAATGACTCACAGAACCCAGGGAAAACTATTCACTTACTATTACCAGTTTATTATAAAAGATACTGTAAAGGACGCATATGAGCAGTCAGATGAAGAGATACACAAGGTGAGATCCAAAGAGTCCCACCTGCAGGAGCTTCTGTCTGTCTGGAGTTCAGGTGTGACCTACAGAAGCTTCTGTCCATCTGGAGTTCAGGTGTACCGTCCCATTGGCCTGAGGATGTGTTCACCAACCTGGAAACTCTTTGAACCCCTCTGTTTAGGGTGTTTCATGGCAGTTCTGTTATTTAGACATGATTGATGAAATAATAGGCTGTTGGTGACTGACTTGATCCCAGCCCCTTTCCTCTCCCTGGATGTGGAAAAAAGATACAACGAATATTTCCACCCATTAATTATATGGTTGGTTGCTCTGGCAGCCAGTACCCATTCTATGTGGAGATCTACCAATGGTTACTCTTCTAGCATAACTCAGGCAAGTTTAAAAGGGACTTATTACGAATATCAAAAGAGCTTTTCTCACTCTTACCTCTCATGAAACCATAAGAATTTTAAGAGCTCTTTGCCAGGAACCAGGGATGAAGACCAAATATATTTCTTTTTTCTTTTTCTTTTTCTTTTTTTTGAGACAGAGTCTCACTTTGTTGTCCCCAGTAGAGTGCTGTGGCATAGTGGCTCATGGAAACCTCAAACTCTTGGGCTCAAGCAATTCTCTTGCCTAACCCTCCCGAGTAGCTGGGACTACAGATACCCGCCACAACACCCAGCTATTTTTAGAGATGGGGTCTCGCTCTTGCTCAGGCTGATCTCTAACCTGTGAGTGCAGTCATTCCATCTGGCTCAGTCTCCCAGAGTGCTGGGATTACAGGCGTGAGCCACCATGTTAGGCCTCAAATATATTTCTTATTATATCATAAAATTTCACCAAGAACAACAGAAGAAATTATGATTTCCATATAGAAAATACCAAATTATAGCTTAATTCTTTTAAATCACCGTGAATAATTCTCATTGTCTATATAAAAACTATTCTAAAGTTAAATAAAAACATGAATGTACTCCAAAATCACTTTATAAGCTTAGCATAAGATTGATACTAAAATCTGATTAAAAGCTATCTATAGTTATGAATATAAATAGAAAAATATAAATAAAATATTAGAAATGCTAAGCCAGTTGTATACAAAAAGTATATGGTTAATTCTATGAGTGTAAAAATATTATTAAAATTCACTATATCAAAAAGTCATAGGACAAAGATTATATCATTTTAATTGATGCCAAAGGGATTATTTTAATTGATGCTGATAAAATAAACATGGATTTCTAATAACAACTGTGTCAAGTATTTCAAAATTAGAAATATTTTCCACATATGGGAAATATTTATTCTATACTGTACTCTGGAATTCAAATTCCATATTGTACTCTGATTCATTTACTTTCAATAGGACAGAAATTTTATTTTATTTTATTTTATTTATTTTGAGACAGAGTCTCACTTTGTCACCCTCAGTAGAGTGCTATGGCATCACAGCTCACAGCAACCTCCAACTTTTAGGTTTAAGCTATTCTGTTGCCTCAGCCTCCCAAGTAGCTGGGACTACGGGTGCCCACCACAACTCCCGGCTATTTTTTGTTGTAGTTGTTATTGTTGTTTAGCAGGCCCAGGCCAGGTTCAAAACTGCCAGCCCTGGTATATGTGGCTGGCATCCTAACCACTGAGTACGGGTGCCGCGCCAGGACAGAAATTTTAGAATACCAATTAACAGAAGCTAGTCAAAGAGCTTCATGTGGTTTTTCATTCCCTACAAATATTCAGTCAACAATTAGATTCATACCTATAGTGTTTTTGACTATTTTAACTCTCTGCCAAAGGCAGGAAACTTTAAGCATCTAGTGGGCACCCTTCTAACATGGCTACTTAGGCTTGGAGCAAGTTAACAAAAGAAGCTTCTACGGGAAAGAGCACTCCTCTAATGATCAATGTGAAAGCAAAGCCGGCACCAAGGCAAACCTTTCGGTCCCTCCCCGTGGTAATCTCCTTAGGCTTCAGTCCATAGCAAATCCCATCACAACCTACTTTTGTAGGGATGAGAAAGTATCTCCCTAGACAGATTAAAGACGATACACTTCCCATGTTATAAATATACAACCTTGGCTAATCTCGTTTAGAACAATGGATCGACTCATGCAATAAATATTTATTAAGCATATATGCCAGGCATGACTAAATGTTAAAAATATATTTAATGAGCAGAACTTATCACAGGGTTTACATTTTCAAAGGAAAAAGAGACAATGAACAAAATATAAGATCTGACAGGTGCTCGGAAGAGAAGGTAGGGGGTGAAGATGCTATTTAAGACGTGACAGGGAATGTGACATCAGACGAAGAAAAGAGGCTGTGAAGCCATCACTCAGAGGACACCAGGGTTAGTATTCTTAACCTTTTCTCAAGAACGAAAACAGTCATTAAAGTATGACACGTATCAGAGAATTCTCAGACCTCATTTTAAAAATCACCTTAGGCTCCCCCATAACAAGCACTTTTAGTAAAGTTAAGACTCAAACAATACTTCAAAATGGCAAAGATGATCTATCATAAACCAAAAACTAACCTCATCCTTCTTAATGCAAGCCTTCCCTATCTCCCCTCTGTACAACTTATTGGTTAACATTCTGAAAGTTCTAACCAAAGCACTAATGCATAAAACAGAAATAGGATATACAATTGTCAGAGAGCGTCAACCTAAATAACTGAGAGATATTTATCTAAAAGATATTTATAAACAACTGAGAATAGAGCATTGTAATGGGAATAGACATGTCACAGTAAATTACGTGTGTATTCAGGGAGAGAAAGGAAGGCAAGGGTGTTTAAAGGAAAAAATGACGAGATTATTTACCAATAACAATTATAACAAGTAACTGTTTTGTTATGAAGACTAATAATTAACAGTGATATCAGTGATATCAGTCTAAGGCTGGACAGTCAGAGGCTGGGCAGATATCCTTGCAAAAGTATTTTTTTCTGTGTGTGTGCAAGTTTGCAATGGCCTTTGTGCAAGGTTGTAGGTTTTGGAGTCTTTCATGAAAGGTTTTATCAGGCACACGAGCACCAGAACCCTCTTTTGATGACCTTTTCCAGATCCACTGGTCAGTGTTTTAACATTAGTTGGCTCATTTTGATTTTCACAACTTTCACAAAAGCAACCGGTCTTTTTTCAATTTGCAGATTATATTGTAGATGACTTTTTATTTGTATAGAGCCCGCGCCCTCGAACTATGGCCCATGGGCCACACGCAGCCCGCCGAGGACATTTATCCGGTCTGCCAGGTGTTTTTGCCAAAGCTGCCTGTCCTGCTTAGCAGCTGACTCATCCTGGGGCCTGCAGTCCAGCCCTCCAATGGTCTGAGGGACAGTGAACTGGCCCCCTGTTTAAAAAGTTTGAGGACTCCTGGCATAGGGAATGGAAAATATCCAAATAAAAAAAATTCTAGGAATTTTGTATGATGACTAGATATAAAATAAGTACATAGAAAATAATTTACATATGTAATATATATCATAAACATAGAACTTCCATAGTTGGGCACCTCCCTACGTTGACCACCTCCTTAAGTTGACCTAATTTTTATAGACTGGACATGCACCACACGTACGTATCAGTACAGCCAGCCTACTTCCTTATGTTGACCACTCTGTATGTTGCCCATTTGTTAAAGTCCCATGGGTGGTCAACACACAGAGGCTTTACAGTATACCAGAAAGAGCACACAGCTCAAAGTATCCCTTTCTTAATAATAACAAAAATATTTATTTCCAAATAACATGAAATGTGAAGATTCAGCTAACAACATTGAAAATTTTCTAAGACATCAAGTCTTAACTAAAGAGAACTTAATGTCAAGTTCCTAGATTGTATTGGTGTGCTGGAGCTGCCTAGTACTAACTCAGACCTGATCCTTAAGTACGTAGGAATTTGCAAGTTAGTGAGTCTTAAACTCTTGGTAGTTTCTGGCTATCGAGGGAGGGACTATTTCACCATGGTAGTCAGCAATCATACTATAAATCAGGGCTGTCGAGAGCCAGTTTACCAGCACACCAGTAACCATAATTCATACTGAAAAGGTATAAATTCTTCTCAAAGCAGTTGACTTCCAAGCAAAGGCCAAAGACCTTTTTAAAAAATTAACAAATATCATCAGAAACAAAATACAAAGGACCAATGATAATCAAAATATTTTTGAAAAAAAGTGAGAGATTACTTGCCAGAAAGTTATTATAATATTATCAGAGTGGTATAGTGATAGCTCATGAATAAACAGATGATTTATGCCAAGTGTATAACAAGTGTGATTAAAGAAGGTAATTTAATTAATAGTGCTGAGATAATAGGACCTTCTAATTTTTCTTTTGTTCCTAAATTTTTAAATTCTTTTAGTGGCACCAAAACTGGAGTGCAGTGGAATAATCCTAGCTCCCTGCAGCTGTGAACCTCTGGCCTGAAGCAATCTTCCTGCCTTCAGCTTTTCAAGTGGCTGAGACTGCAGGTGTGCACTACCAGGCCTGACTGATTTCTTTTTTTTTTTTGAGATGGAGTCTTGCTATGTTGCCCAGACCAGTCTCAAACTCCTGGCCTTAAGCCATCCTCTCACTTCAAAGTGCATAAGCACTTTATTCATTCTCCCTTCCCATGCAGTCCCCTCTCCCCAGAACCCTTGCTTCCCTACTTGATTTGACCTCAGCTCAATCGTCGCTTTTTGAAGAAAGCCATGTTTGACCTTAATAACAAGTCTCCAGATTTTAGGCTCCTTTCATAGTACTTAGCACAATTATAATTTTATACTTATTGGTCCAATTATTTACAAATGTCAGTTGTCTCCTCCAGACTGTGAACTGTATCAGAGGTCTCATTGTAATCTCAGCACCAAACACAGTGCTTGCTCTAGAGGTAACACTCAATAACTTTTCTAAAAAGAAAACTAAGTAGGCAACCTTTTAAACTTGCTCAGAAAATAGCATATAATTTTGATTATGAGTTATGATCCCAATTACATATATTTTTATATATATGTGTATGCGTATATATATATCACATATGTATATATACACATTAAAGAAGACTAAAAAGAAATACCAAAAAAAGAATAGATTAGGTGGTTCAATTAGTGGTGCTTTTATTTTTTGTATTTTGTAATTTTTTAAACATTTTCTATAATAAACATATATTCATTTTATAATCAATTTTTATAATGTAGCAGATGAGAAGAGATGGGGAGAGAAAGGAACAGAAAGGGTAGAAAGAAAGAATTAGAATCTGTGTGTTCACAACTACCCTCCTTTAACTTGTTCTAGTGCCACGGCCCAGCCAGCTTTATCTGAAATAATTAATGACTTTAGACCCTTCCTTGGAAACTCTTGCTATGCTGCCTGACTTAAAACTTAAGGTCAAATTGGGCTTTCTCCTAAAATAAGAAACTATTGTTAGGTTATCAGTAAGAGCCTTGTTTAGAGGAAGAAAAGTTATTTATTACAATACTTAAAATTCTGTACCCTGATAGAACCATCATCATGTTGAAATAGTGGCTTCAGAATTCCAGGTCATGCAATCCACAAAAATTTAAGATTTCTCTCTTATTGACAGAGGGACTTAGTAAATATAAACAAAAATAAAATAAAAGCAATTATACTTCTGGATGCAATTGATGATGCGAGTAAAAACATAAACCTGATGAAGGAATTTTCCAATACCAGTAGTATCAATTCCTGGTTGAAAAACAGGAGTCCAGCCTGGACATGATGGCTCATGCCTGTAATCCTAGCACTTTGGGAGGCCAAGACAGGAGGATCACTTGAGGCCAGGCAGTCAAGATCACCCTGAGCAACATGGAGAAACCTCATGTCTACCAAAACATAGAAAAATTAGCTAGGCATTGTGGCACATGTAGTTCCAGCTACTTGGGAGGCTGAGTCAGGAGGATCACTTGAGCATAGGAGTTTGAGGTTGCAGTGAGCCACTGTACTCCTGCTCAGGAGACAGAGCAAGATCCTGTCTCAAAACAAACCAAAAACAATAGTCCAATTTAGATAAGACAGAACACAAAGTGCAGTCACTTGTCAATCAGGCTCTCTAGCCCACTCTCCAGATGGGAGCTGCTCACCCTGCCCTTTGGAAGAAGTAGGATTCAGGATTCTATGGGTATCTCCTGCTCACATCCTCCTGGTGAAAACCGCTCAATGCTTCTCATGTAGAGAAGAAAAGAACAGGTGTTCATGAAGACTGGACAATGGCGTATCAGTTGGTTTCTGATCCTAAGACCTCATGATCCGAAGGTCATTGTTTGGCTCATAATAGTTTCCCCACAATATCCTTCCTTTGAATAATTCATCTTCTTTCTTGTTTCCCCCTCCCATTCAGGAAGTTTTAAATGACACAATTTCCTACCCTGATGGTACATTCATGGATTGGGAGTTTAAGATCTCTGTCTTGTATGACATTGCTAAGGTAAGAGACCCACACACACACACACACACACACACACAAATTGATAACAGTTAAATATAGGAAAATAATCCTACCACCTTATTCAATTTCTGTGTATTTGTTGCTTCATCTGTGAAGTAATAATAACAGTAGCTATGTTACAGGGTTGTTGTGAGGGTTTTATGAAATAATGCATGTGCTTACTACAAGGCCTGGTTTAATATGTATTAGCTATTATTATTATCATTATATTGTTTGTATTTGGGTATAGGGAATGCATTTTCATAAATTTTCCAGAAATCATAAACATACAAAACTGCAGGGAAGACAACTGAATTCTCAGCTTTATTGGAGAAAATGTTAAGTACAGGCAATTATCTTACACAAAGCACTAATAAATTTGGACATGTATATGCCCAAGCATGAAAACAGAAGAAAAACTGGGGTTTTTCAATTATGATGGAAATCTTGTCATGAGAGTGATCTGTATGATGCATTCATAAATCACCTGAAAGTCACAGAGGCTTAGAATCAGTACAAAAAACACGTTAATGATTATCAATTTGCCACACACATTTGAGTCTTGTGATCCAAGCTGAAAACCACTTTCTGCTATGACACCTCTAACCACCAGGGGGAAGCAGACCAGCCACCTACACACTTCACTTTTAAAAACGAAAAACATTTGCTTAATATTTTAAATTAGGATGAAACCGATCCCATTTTTGAAATAAAAATCTAACCTAGCCCCTCCCTTCATAAAGATAAAACCTTATTATTCATAGTTTAAAATTGAGGCAGTAGAAGGTCACAGACAAAATAAACGGTAAGCAGACTATAAAAAAAAATCAATGCTTGCCTCATATTATATACAACCACTAAATCAAGAGTTTTTAAACAATTGCCTTTTTACTATGTCACTTAAATAGACTTCAAAACTAGATATAGTGAGTAGGCAAGTATTAGGGCGTTAAGAATATTTTTAAAGTACAATTAACTCAGCTCGGTGCCTATAGCTCAACCGGCTAAGGCGCCAGCCACATACACCTAAGGTGGCGGGTTCGAATCCCCAGCCTGGACCCGCCAAACAACAATGACGGCTGCAACCAAAAAATAGCCGGGCGTTGTGGCGGGCGCCTGTGGTCCCAGCTACTTGGGAGGCGGAGGCAGGAGACTCGCTTGAGCCCAGGAGTTGGAGGTTGCTGTGAGCTGTGATGCGATGACATCCTACCCAGGGTGAGAGCTTGAGGCTCTGTCTCAAAAAAAAAAAAGTACAATTAACGTTGTTAAATTTAACAACTGATGTTGTGACTGTCTCTATGGTGAAATGATTTCAAAAGGTCATTTCTTAATTTTAAATAACCAAACAACTGCTAAAGTGTGTCACATTTCATCACAGGGGATGTCATATCTGCACTCCAGTAAGACTGAAGTCCATGGTCGTCTGAAGTCCACCAACTGTGTGGTAGACAACAGAATGGTGGTGAAGATCACGGATTTTGGATGCAATTCCATTTTACCTCCCAAGAAAGGTCTGTAATAAATGAAATTTTTACTAGCTTCCCATTTAGTTTTTTGGGTTTTTAAAATATTTTCTCATTTTCTGGGCAGTGCCTGTGACTCAATGGGCAGGGCGCTGGCACCATATACTAGGGTGGTGAGTTTGATGCCGGCCCTGGCCAGCTAAAACAGCAGTGGCAACTGCAACAAAAAATAGCTGGATGTTGTGGTGGGAGCCTGTAGTGCCAGCTACTTGGGAGGATGAGGCAAGAGAATCACTTAAGCCAAAGAGTTGGAGGTTGCTTTGAGCTATGATGTCACAGCATTCTACTGAGGGTGACAGAATGGGACTCTGTCTCAAAATAAAAAGAAAAGAAAAAAAAATTTTTCTCTCAAACCCATGTAGACTACTCAGAAATGGTGACATTTATCAGAAGATAAACACTTGGGGCTGCGAGAGGCAACAGCACCTCATACTTGACAGTGAACAGGTGCTTCTCAATTAAACAAATGTCCCTTGCGGATTAACTTCTGTGTCCCTTGATATCACTGAGAAATCACAAATAACTTACTGGCTTATGGAAGCAGAACTGAGTGAAAATAAATACAGGAAGAAATATTCGACATTATCTGGTCTAACCCTTTTATAGAAGACAGAATTGAGGCTCAGATTTGCCCAAGAAAATAAAATACAAAGCAAGAAGAACCATTTCCAACACTACATATCATTCGTCTGTGGTAATAAGAAACAATAAAAAAAAATTCTTATCAGTAAAATATATTCTTACTTATCTCTTTCAGGATTGTGGTGAGGGTCCAAAAGAGATAACATAAAAAAAAGTGATAGCCAGGTGCTGTGGCTCATGTCTATAATCCTAGCACTCTGGGAGGCCAAGGCAGGCAAATTACTTGAGCTCATGAGTTCAAGACCAGCCCGAGCAAAAGCAAAACCTTGTCTACTAAAAATAGAAAAACTGAGGCAAGAGGATTGCTTGAACCCAAGAGTTGGAGGTTGCTGTGAGTTATGAAGCCACAGCACTTTACCCAGAGCAACAGACTGAGACTCTGTCTCAAAAAGAAAAAGAAAAGTTATTTGTAAAACATAAAGAGCTTTTCATGTTGAGTGTTTATCCTATTCTTTATTATAACTCACAATGAAACAGCCTCAACAGCTTCAGATAATTAGTATTTATCTGCCTGAGTATTTAGGTGCCTGAGAATGCTAACTAGAGAATGCTGACTAGATCCAAAAACTTAGTCTGAAAAGTGAGTGGAAAATCACAAAAGGTGTTTGTTGAGAACTGAATATTTTTCATAACAAGAAACGGTCCAAAGCCTGGGCAAAGTGGTATATAGTGCAAGGTCTCATGAATACGGTATACGACAGAGTTTCCAAATGAGCTTCTGTAGTTTGAGCAGTGTTGTTTGTGTGACACATAATCCAGCATTGTCTTACAAGAAGATTGGCCTGTCTCTATTGACCAGTCTCAGCTGCCAAATCATAAGCATCCTGATCATTTTATCCAAGTGGTTGCAGTAAACATCCACTGTAATCAACTGACCGAGTTTCATGAAGCTGTAGTGAATGGTGCCAGCTCTGGACCACCAAACAGACATCATTTCCTTTTTTTGATGAATATTCAGTTTTGGACTGTTTTGATACTCCATCGTTGTCCAGCCACTGTGCCAAATGCTTGTGATTGTCAAAAAGAATCCATTTTTCATCACAGATAACTATACAGTGTAGAAATAGTTCATCTTTATGTCGTGACAGCAAAGAAAGGCAAGCTTCAAAACAATTCTGATGGTGCTCATTTAATTCATGGGGAACCCATCTACCCAGCTTCTTTACCTTACTGATTTTGTTTTAAATAGTCCAGTTTTGTTGGAATAGTAACGTCAGACTTTGCTGCTAGTTCAACCATAGGTTGAAATGGATTTGCTTCCACTACAGTTTATCCACCTCGGTCACCTGTGTGGCTTATTTTCAAGATTAAAATCACAAGAAAAGAACATCTCAAACCATTGATGTACTGTGTGTTTATTACCCACATCCTTCCCAAGCTCTTCATGGATATTTTGAGGTGTGCGGTGCACCGGTTCCATGCCAGAACTCGTGTTTGGAAATAACACAAAATTTTGACTTATCTGTGGTTTCACAAAAATTGCTTTAAAACAAAAATATGACAGATAATCACAAGCCGAAGCATGTGTTTGAAAGACTGAGATGTACCTGCACAAAAAAATAAAACAAGACGCATCAAAGTGAAATGTCAGAGATATCAACTGTCAAACTTTGTACTTAAGGAAATTGAACATTTCATACTTAATAACCTAATGTATTCTAATTCTATTTTTTACAATCCTTTAGTTTTTCTTAATAAAACTACAATTCTCCCTCTACATCTGTAGTCAAGCCAAGGAGAATATGATATTGGACTCAATCCAGTAAGTTACTGTTGAAGACCTACTGTGTGCCAAGAGTGCTTCATGACCTAATGGAACAAATCTCCTTCATCGATGACTCACTACTAATACAAACCAGATAAATCACAGATCAAATTCTATCTTCTTGAGTATCACTCAGTTAAACCTACCTATCTAGCATCATAGATTTACCGACATTTTTTACAACTCCAGAGCTTTAGGATCAATTGTATGGAATCGCAAATCACAAAAATTCATGAGATGTAAATTCGAAAAGGCAAAGTACATTTGGATGGAGAACCAGATGAAGAAAATGTATCTCATCAAAAATATACCGTTGTACCTAACTACATGAATCTGTACATTTTTTTTCACTGAAACTGCTGAAGATGGAAATCTCAAAAAGTTTAGCAAGTAGCTAGGTGATACTGAAAAATTTCCAAAGAGAAATTAATTGTATGCCCCTGTTAACTGCCAAATAAGATATGCAAGAGCATTCTAAACCCCAAGTGTCTCTAGAAGCTAAACAGAGGACATAGGAGCTTTGCACTTATGTGAAATAGACTAGATATAAAGCATTAAGGAGCAGTGGAAACAGGTGTGAAATACATGTAAATTCGTAAATTAATGTGCATTTTTTAAAAAGAATAGTGTGAAAACAAAAGAAAACACCCCTGTGGGCACTAGCTGACTGTGAGGCTGCCAGTATGATACGCTTAAAAAATATCAACGATAGTCCTTTGTTTAAATGTGCTGACTTTATCTTCTTTTAGTAAATAGACATAGTATATTTTAAATATATATGAAATAAAAAATTATAATAAGGAAAATATGTATTGAGATATATTTATTTATAAAGGTTTTCATAGGTCCCATAAGATATTAAATTCCTCAACCTCTCATACTCTACTGTGTTCATTCAATCTGTATTTACTTAGCACTTACTAGGCACCAAGCCCTGCTCTAGGTAGATCTTGAGGTTTTTCAGGACTAGGATCCTAGCCATTTTAGATAACATATTGCCAGATGGCCTAACCCCTATCCTAGAATTTCATAGTCAGCTTTAAAGGTAAGTGTATGTTCTACCCTGGATCACCAGCATAAACTCCTGAAAAGTTTAGAACCATATCAATTCAAGGTCACCCACATTCAGGGTAGATAGTGCAGGGACTTAAACAAAAGCCAGTTAGAGATCTGTGGGCCACTGACTTACCTCAGCTTTGCAATCTCCATGTCTGAATGTACAGACTTGTGGACAGCTCCGGAGCACCTCCGCCAAGCCAACATCTCTCAGAAAGGAGATGTGTACAGCTATGGCATCATAGCGCAGGAGATCATCCTGCGGAAAGAAACCTTCTACACGCTGAGTTGCCGGGACCGAAATGGTAAGCCAGAGCCTCTGCCTCTGCCTCCACTGGGAGCTGGCCACCTGCGCTCTAGGCTCAGAGCCCCTCATGTGACGACCCTTCATGTGTCTCAATCCCCTCGAAAGTGACGACCTCTCATCTGCATTATACATTTTACGGGGGAATTGGAAGGATTAAATGTTAGCTCTGAAAAGCATAAGACAGCACATGCTGCCAGGGGTCATTATTGTCAGTATTATGATTAAGAATCTTCCCTACAATTTCCTCCTTTCCCACTGATCCCAATAAGAGAATGTGTCTGCTTAACATCAGATGACATGGATCTTTTAGTTCTTAGTAAGAGAAGATCTCTTGGTTTTGTCACATGTCCTCTCAAGGAAAAATGCTTCATTCCTCACGTACTGAGCATTTATTATGTGGCAGAACTTAACAGTTTGGGAGAGGGGAGGAGGACTAAGGGAAGTAGGGAGGTGGGAGACAAAGTATGAACAGAGGAAGCCCACTAAGGAGGGGGGGTCTGAGCTAAGGCCCACTAA